CACACACACACACGGATGCAAAGATAGATAAATATACAAAGATATACCTGTTAAAAATCCCCCTCGAGTTCAGTGAAATACTCACATAAAATGTCTTGACATTTCTCAACAGGCGAAGGGTTGATCCTCGAGGAGTATTGCAGCCCAGGTCCTGTGCCAGCCGGTGGCGGTCCTCCGAATATCACAAACTTGAGAGTTTGCAAACTCTGAGGAGCGTTCCACTCAGAGGGAGATGCTGGGTGCAACCTGCTGCAGTCCAGGAGAGCTCAAAGGGTCTCACTTAGGACCACTGTTTATAGGTGCGCAAGATGATTGACTTCAGTCATCTGTAAATTTCCATCCTGGCCACAGTCCAAAGTGGTAGTGACTAAAATTCTGAAGGTTTCGGTGTTGTTTCAACTGAGCTACGACTCGAACAAGATGGCACCTGGGACAGGCAGTGGGAGTACGTTCCCAGCCTTAGCCATGCAGAGTTTCTGGTATGGTCAAGGAGCGCTCAACCATCAGACTCAGTACACCAAGGCGGAGGTTTCATGGGAATTTCTGAGATCAATGAGCGGCCCAGGAGAAGGGGGCAGGGGATGCACCACCACAACATCTTGTATAGCTTCAGTAAATTCAGATGGATTACTTGACAGTACCACAGATTTAAAGTGTCAAATCCCAGAGGCAGGATAAAGGAATTATTATTTGGATAGTGTTGGAGTTTCGTAAATTGCAACAATAACAACAAACTAGGCAATATCTCATCTTCCAAGATATATATAAAAAATAATACACTGAGGAAACTACATGGAAAGATTTTAGAAAGTTAAATTGTTCCACGATCCTAACACAACGATAGGGTAAAACCTATGCTAAATGAGTCTTGGGCCATGCCAGTATACCCTAGGGCAACTCGAACAGTACTCGGTACCTACATTTAGGAACTGAACTGAAGCCTTGATTTCCTTTGGATATGGTGGAATTTGGAACACACAGCTCACATATAATCCGTAGGAAGAGGGAAGTGGTTATTCCCCTCTAGTCAGCACTTGTTATACCAGCTCTGTAATACTGTCTCCGGCTGTGGAGCCCCCGCGCAGGAAAGGTGTGATGAGCTTGAGTGAGCTCAGCATAGGGCCGTGAAGATGATCGGAGGGCTGGAAGATGTACCCTGTCGGGGGAGGCTGAGTGAGCTGGGCTTGTGCTCTGCACCAGGGGGATGCAACAATAAAGGGTGTGGTAAAATAGCTGTTTTCGTACAATAGGGTAAAACCAGGAATATAGGTAGCAAGGAAATCTTAGGTCCCTTCTGATACTGGGAACCCCACTTTTGTGCAGCATCGGACAGACACCAGATGGATCTTCCCCCGGCACGCTGCACAGATGCCGTCTGTGGAGGGGTTCCTCCTCCCTCCCATGCCATGGAGCCTTTTATTTTGGGTAGCAAACAGTCATGTATCTTCTGCTGACAGGTTGGGACGTCATCTCAGTCATACAATTCACCAGCGCACAGCACAGGCTTTAAGTACAAAGCCCAGTAGAGCAGACGTGTCCTGTTCAAGATCACTAACTCCTCGCATACGTCTTCCGCAAGGCTCCCAATACAGCTTGTTCAGCCTGGAGGAGAGATGGCTTCAGAGGGATGACTTCAGGCAGTGCCCCCCGGTACCTCCGGGGAGGCTGGCAAGAGGTCCGAGCCAGGCTCTTACTGAGGTCACGGCAGAAGAACGAGAGACGATGGTCAGAATCAGGGGAGGGTCTGGAGGCACATAAGGAAGCTTTTCCAGAATGAAAATAATTAAGCGTTTGTAGCTGGTTACCCAGGGAGGTTGTGGGGTCTCTGTTTTTGGAGGTTTTCAAGACCTGACTGGACAAACTCTAAGTAAACTGGCCTGAATTCAGTGTTGTCCCTGCTTTGAGCAGCTGTGTGATTCCGTAATTCTGGGCAGACACCTAAATTTAAGTCTTAATCCGTGTGCTGAATCCCTCCCTACTAGCTAACCAACAAACATTAGATGAAAGCCCACACTGAGAAATTCAGCAGAATTAAAATGTGCCTTCCCACACTACTAAAAGTAAATAATTTAGGAAAGGAATTTAACTTGGACAGATATGGTTTGGAATGAAGCAAAGCTGGGCAACAGGAGAAGGACACTATTGGAGTAAAAGAACAGCTAAGACTACTTAAACATTTTCATCTGTTATCCTGTTTTTCTTTTCTCAGCAAGTTATATTCCCAGAGTGGATTCAACTTCAATATAATATTATCCTGAATGTCTGCTAACATGGATGAAAAAGATGGAAAGGGCTCAATTATAAAGTTACAAAACCGTTAACATATATTGAACTGATTATATGGAAGATGGAGTAGAGTCTTACATCGCTAGGACAACTTGTACAAGGAGGGCCACCTCCCTTTTTACAAACATGGCAAAGGCTATTTGTTGCACAGTGTGCTTGCCCTTTAACCTATGTCCACATGCTGCGTCTGACACCTATTATAGCGTGTCTGCTGCCCAGACAGTGTGGCTGTGTACGTGTGTACACCTAGGGTGAGTTGCTTGTTCCCAGGGATCTTGTTGAACTATTCTAGGTGTAGGTGATAAAACACATCTGCCTGAAATAGATGTCTACCCATACATTATGCATTGTGAAAATCATACAAATATATGCTTCTGGTACTATATTCTGGTTAGTCTTCCAATAGTATCCCAGAAGTGACTTGTGTTGCATATTCTGGTCTTTTTGCATATAATTCCTTGATCATCTTTCAGATCATGGAATGTAAATTTATCTTCCGTGTCTGACCCTGGGCTTTTTCTATTTTCTATTTTCTATTTTCTATTTTCTATTTTCTATTCAACATGTTCCTGTTTCAACCCGCTCAGTCCTAGCTCTGCCTAGACGTAGATGGCTACCCAGTATCCTGCTAGAAGAATAAAGACCCCACCTGGCTTTTTGTTAACTCATGGCGTGAGGATGGTCAAAGTAAATGATTTTGGAGCACACACCTGAAATTTCGTCTCCATCTGAAGGCAGAACTGGAGATCAGCCAGCCTGCTCTGCAGCGCAGTGTTTGCCATCAGCAGAATTGCCAGGGATTCGTGGCCTGTGGCCAATTCAGTTACTCTTCTGGAAGTTTCTGGGTGAAGGGAGGGCGAGGGTAAGGGCAAAACCATTTGCTCCCTTATGGTCTTGCCATGCTGTTCCCACTAATTGGGATAGATTCCAAACTGGGGGGAAAACTAAAAGGAAACAACCTCAGGAATCCAAGTTTCCTACACATAGGCTTCCATTTAGGAAAAAATTACCAGGTATATTAGATTAAGTTGTTGTGATTCATAGTCTTTGCAACACGGTCATAGAGAAAAGCTGTTGTAGACTCAGGCAGCTGCAGCAGTGTTCAGCCAAATGTGGATTATGGATACTTTCAGCTGCTGTTGGTGGCAAAGTTTCCTGAGGTTGTTCAGCTTGTCTGTTGTCTGTTTGCATAGTCTTACCCTTGCTTGAGATATTAACGTCAGTCCCATGGTGGGATGGAAGGGGGAAAGAGGGAAAGAAAAGAGATCATGCTGTTTTTATAAACCGTTGTAGTCTCTCAGCATCCTGTTCACGAATTTTGCCCTTCCCCTGTCTATTGATACATGAAAACATTTAGTGCCAGAAAGCTGGTAGTCTGTTTGTGAGATTCCTCAGCTGGTTTTATAACATAGTCATGATCACAGTGATTAATCAGTGTAGGTGCAGTATTATGTTCTATACATGCAGCGTGGACATACTTTTAACCTTATTGGTTTCCTCTTCAGAAAGACTTCAAATTACCAGTCTCCTGACTGTGACGAAAAGGGTAGTGGTGCTCTAGCTTCAGAGAAGATTGCATACAAATATGTGTTATCTTTCTTATTAAATTAATTCATTTTATTAAATCCTTCTTTGGTGATTAAGAGGGCAGACTGAGGGAGAAAAAATAAAATTAAATCAAAATTGCTCTTCTTACCTGCCACTAACAATATGCAAAAGTCATACTGGAAGATTGAAGAACAATGAAATTCTTGTGATCATGATACAACTTACTGCACAAAAATAAAAAGGATTAGGTACTGAAAAATGACCTCCCAGCCTTTAGCACTGTAGTAGTATGGAGACCCTTGGAAATTGTTTCATTGTAGAGACTTTTTCCTCAGTTGGATTTCCCACTGAATTTTTACATCTTTTTCTGTTAAATTCTCAGTAGACTCACAGTCCCATTAAAAGTTATTTATTTCACATGTGTTATTTTTCATTTTGCTGAGAAAAAACCTCTAAGTCTTGACCCCGTCTTGAAATAAAAAGATTATTTTTAGGGCAGTTAAAATCTTTTTCTTTTTTTTTTCAGAATCAGGTGACTCCAAAAAAGAGAAGAAAAAAAAAAAAGCTGTGGAAAAATGCATTTCTTTGTCTCTGCTGCATTTAGGATGTGGTCGTGCCCCAGGAGCCTAGAGAATTGCAGTTACGATGCGCCTGAGCTCAGGAGCCCAACTTTCCGTCTACGTATAAACATTCCTCCCGCTTCAGCCGAAGCATGCACTTCTGGTTTGCGTAAAAAAATATTTGCAAGAACTCTCCCGAGTAAGATCATTCAAGTATGATTTTGGCCACAGCTGTTTACAAGTTCGGGCTTTGACTGAAGTGAGTAATTGAATTACGTTGAGCCTCTGAAGTTTGCCTTTTATTTATATATCTCCCCCAATTGTGTGGCTCGGTCTGCCATTGGCTGCGGTCCCTGCAGCCTACCCGAGGGCTCTGCAGTTACATAAGGCTCTGCTGGGAGCCTATATAAAGCCTTTTTGCACGCCAGCAAGAGACAGAATTTTATCAAGATCCAGGTCCCACTGCTTTAGTTTGCACAAGCAGGAGGAGATTTGCTTGAAGATAGACCGAAACCTGAGCCCGGGCTGGTTTGTTTGCTAGCCAGTACTTCACAGCTGTCAACCTGAGTCGCAAGTAGCAGCTACTGTAAGTAGCTTCTGTGCACTATGAAGAATTTTTCATTTCCTATGCAGGATAACACACATCAGACCGAGAGTCCTTCGGGTCACAGATTCCTGAGTTTGACAAATCAGTCAGATCCTGTTGGGAGACCAGAAAGGGATGAGCAATTAGCTCAAGTAGAGATTGCTGTACTGGGGGTCATATTTCTGACAGCGTCTGTGGGCAATTTTATTCTCATACTGGTGCTGTGGCGAAGAAGACAGAAGCTCTCTAGGATGTATGTATTCATGCTTCACCTCAGCATCGCTGACTTAGTGGTAGCCTTTTTTCAAGTGCTGCCTCAACTCATTTGGGATATTACAGACGTTTTCATAGGGCCAGATTTCTTGTGCAGAATTATCAAGTATCTACAATTGCTGGGCATGTTTGCCTCCACTTATATGATAGTGGTCATGACAGTGGACAGATATCAAGCAGTTTGCTACCCTATGGTCACTTTCCAAAAGAAGAGGGCTCTCTGGAACATCCCCATTTGCACCAGCTGGTCTATATCACTGATTCTTAGCCTACCACAGGTATTTATCTTTTCTAAGACTGAAATATCTCCAGGTATCTTTGAATGTTGGGGTGAATTTATTCAGCCATGGGGCCCAAGGGCATATGTGACGTGGATTTTTGTAGTTATATTCTTCATTCCCTCAGCCATCCTTATCACGTGTCAGGTTAAGATTTGCAAAATAATCAAAAGAAATATATATGTGAAAAAACAGAATGAATATGAAGTGACAAATCAGAAGCAAGTCCTGCCATCCCGAGCAAGCAGTGTGAACTGTATTTCAAAGGCTATGATCAAGACTGTAAAAATGACAGTGGTGACAGTTGTTGCATATGTTCTCTGTTGGTCACCTTTCTTCATTGCACAGCTGTGGTCTGTGTGGTTCCCCAGTGTCGTGACTGAAGGTAAGATACTCTCCATCCTCATTCATAACTGCATAGCAGGCTAGCACATTGCTATATTGCTTTATATTTGCACTTTGCTTTTGTGTAAAAGTTACCTGTGATCATGTGAGTATGATTAAAAAGAAAAGCCTGGATTGTTTATCTACTATATTTAATTAGGTACAGAGAACTTCATCTGTTCTGTGATCAAAACGTCATATAAGTGTATATTTTGTGTGTGTGTCTATGTTTTGAGTGATTAATGATTTGAAGATTAATAAACAGCACAGGGAAAAGTATCATCTGCTCCAGCAAGGGTTCAGACTTTTAGAGGTTTTAGATATTATAGCAGCAGTATTTTGAGTTCTTGAGGAGAAAAGGAGTAATTAGCTATTCAAAGTAATAAAATAAAGATTTCTTATTTACTGGATAGAACAGTGATGTTATAAGATGTCTGATTTTTTTTTTTAGTATTGAAATCATACTGATGAAATCTCTGTAGTACACTATGAAACAATTGAAAGTTGTGAAACAGCTGTTTATAAAGCAAAAAAAAGCAAGCCCGAGAGAGATATCAAAGAACACCATGTTGTAAACAAGATTAATCTTGTCAAACTTACACTGTTGCCTCTTTGTGAAAGGCAGACTCTGTATGTGACTTTATTTAAGTTCACCTATTCTAAACTCAAGGATATAAACCAAAGGAGAAAAAAAAAGATAATAGCTCTGTCTGATGAAAAAAAAACTTCTGATCTTTGTTTTAAGAATTCTTTCTGTCAGTTTAAATTTGAGGCTTACTGTACATATATTTATATCAATATCTATATATGTATTTATCCGTATCTGTATAGGAGGTTAGCAATTGCCTTTAAATTTAATGCAGCTACAAATAAAAAAAGATCTAAATGGAACTATTTAACTCCGAAATGCATACAATACACTGCTTCCTACCTTCAACAATTAAAAATTGCATGGAATAAATGGGAATTTCCTACTATTAGATTAACTTTAATATATGAGCAGGTACACCAGAAAGCAGCAGACTGTGAAAATGTTACTTATTTGTACGAGTCCTTTATTTACTGTGTTACTCCTTTAACTATTTCATTCCAGGTTCGGCATTCACCATTATCATGCTCCTTGGCAATTTAAATAGTTGCACCAACCCATGGATTTACATGTATTTTTGTGGCCACATTCCATATTGCACAAATAAGCAGCTGGAGAACATCTCGGCTCAGGAGGAATCGGTGATCACGGGGAGCATTCATCTCGTAGACAGAGACCCTGAGGAAAACAGTACTTCTGCATAAGTGTTGAATGCTTTTTGTTGTTTTGTTACATTTGCTATGTTTGCAAAAGACATATCAATATTTTACCACTGTCCCTTGTTTAGTGGATAAGGAAGCTGGAAAAGTGTCTTTTGTTGCATAAATACATTTCTCTGCAGTTCTGACGCATATACAGGAAGTTTCTGTGTTGTGCAAGCCTGACTCAGTACTTCCATCACCGCTGCGTTATCAGAATGAATCCCTGTAAAGACTGACAAAGATACATAAAATTACCTTAGATATTTTGTGTCCTAAAGTACTTTCTCTTCTGTGATTCTGGATTTCTAAATAGTAAAATTTTACAACTAACTGGTCCAACAAATTGAAACGTAATTGGAAAGGAATCTGACATAATTAGACTTGATTACGTGTTCACATTGAACCATGAATTGTTCATCATTCTGGTGTGATTGGGGCACGGTTTGACATATCTTGAGAAGGCAGCAGAAAGTCGGAAAAATCCATTGCCAGCTATTATTAATACCTGTTTTAAATTAACTCCTTATATACTTTTATGAAATGCCTAGCAGTTTAATATCATTTTTCAAAAAAAGAATTCAGTGTCCTTGTGACACTGGACACCTACTTCAGTTTCAAATGCCATTGTGGATTGTAGAGGGTCAGCAGCATGGTAGCAGTCCAGGTTTGTGGCTTCACACCGTGGGATTTGGTCTTCCATGCATTCCCTGATGTGCAAGCAGTTAACTGAAACTCCCAACACATACACAACACGTATACATACTTTAAATAAAAATGGGCGCTAGGAATGTAAACTGTCATTTGGTATTCAGACCTATTTTTTCTGGCATGCAATTTATTGACAGAGTGTGCTTAGAACCCCTTCAGGCTCAAATTCAATTATTTCCCTTTTGTGGTAAAAATAAATCTGCATATCTTTATCTCAGAATGCCATTTGCTTGCTAGTTCGTGGGTGTTTTATGCAGGTAGCTATTTATTCCCCTTTCAGTGTCTGCAATCTAATCTGAGGAGTATGGAAGGAATATCAGCAAGGCTCTTTCAGGTGAGAACAGAGCTGCATTCACAGAGATTCTTGGTGATACTTGCATATCATCTGCCTACATTATACTATGTTTCATCAATGCTATTCACATTTCATTTTTATGAGTGCTAGCAAACTCAAATTTCAATGGAAAAACTGTAAAAGTGGGTTTTTTTAATAGTCTAAACTGTACTCAAAGAAATACTGATTTAAACTTAATACTGATTGAATTGTGAGAAGTGCTGCTGTACAATGAATAGTTATGCGTCAGGTTAATGTGTGCTGATATGACTGAATATTCTATCATTTCTGTTCCTTGTATAGTTACACCAGATAGGGGTACGAACCAATATTGCTGTTTTTTATGATGGGAGAAGCTAGTGTCCCAGCCCAGCTGGCAAGAAGAACAGGTCTCCAGCAAGTAGGAAGAGGAAGAAGGTGGATGAAGACGGTACCAGAGCCACACAGGAATGGGAAGAGTCTGTACGAAGTCTCTTATAATTGCAATTCATACTTTTTTCTTCCTGGGTTTTTTTTTTCCCTCACTTTAATTAATAGTTGTTAATTCTACCCCACAACATGTTCCTAGTTAGAGCAATTCTGTAACTCAAATGACAGTGTCCTTATCTGGAGTATGAACATCCAAGGTGCAATCCATACTATTGATATTTGTTGTATTCAGCCACTAACTTTCTAAGACTCTCAGTCAAATTAGCTCTCAATTAAGTTCTCCCTTATGACTTGATCCAATGGTTAATGGTGGGGTTTTTTTGTTGTTTTTCTACTTCCTTTGATTACAATTAGTTACATAATAAAATATGCAGTGTTGAAGGGAACTGTAAATAGAAATGCTTCAAGGCATTACCTGTGTCATTGTACTACTGGATTTGCAGCAAAACACACTGAAAGCCTCAAAAGGTATGCGTTTACAAGGAAAACAGGCATTCAGATTGCGTGCAAATAGTCATCCGGATCCAGATCCAGAACTGACATAAGTCACAGTGCTGCTCAGAGACCGCAGTGGAGCTGTGCCATTTTACACCACCTGATCTGGCCTCTGATATTTAAAAAGTATAACTTCTACTACTTAAATTTCTGCATTGCTCATATGTTTGTTACTGGCTCTATAAATAATTTGGTAGAGCTTGATTTCTCAAATAACGGTAGCTCAATGTGTTCTATGAAAGTCTGAGAGCAATATTAACTGTCCATATTTCAGATATTTTGATCATGTAATGAATGAAAAGCCAGAACTTCTTAAGTTCAATAATGAATGCTCACTGTCTGTAATGTTCAAAGCAATGATATTTTCGTCTCTCAGGTGCTTTCTTTCTGATTTTTTCATTTTCCTTCCCCTGAGATCAGTCCTGCTGTTAAGAAGAAAAATAAAGATTACTGTGCTACAGTGTCAAACTGCAGGCTACGGACACTTTTAGTTTCAGTCCATCAGGAGGTATTTGAATCTGCTGTTTTTTCCTAGCAAAGTGGATTGGGCTGCATTTTCCAGATGTAAGTCATTATCCCGCATGGCCTGCCCTACCCGCCTCATGGACAGCACCGACCCCTGACAAACACACTCAATTAATTTTGATAATTCTTTTTTTTTCTAATAAAGTGTCCTTTACAGGACTTTTCTTATTTCTTAAAGAAAAAGACATTCAAAAATATAATGAAATTTTTCTCTTTGTAAATTTGGCCACCAGTTTTCTTGGGAGTTGTAGTTTGAACATCTTGTGCCCTTGTTTTCCTCTCTATTTTGATTCTTCAGCTGGACTATATCTTTTCCAATTCACTGTCACTTAGATTTCCAATAGGCATTGCAGTGTCTCATTAAGAGGGATGACTGTGAGACATCACTGTAGTCTGGCCAGGGTGTTTAATCCATATGGGAGAATAAGAAACTTGAACGTACAAGTCCCTGGAGGCACTGTGGAAGCACGTGCAAATGAAAAAATTCAATTATCAGATGAAAGCCTTCCTCATCAATTCCTAGGTTCTGTTTTCTCACACAAATAATTTCTGAGCAGAAAAATACATAGCGTACAAGTTCACACTCTTGAAGTGAGTGGCTATGTTGTTGATACTGGCACTGCAGTAGAGTTTCTGGTTATCTGGGTGTCTTTTTTTACTTTCCAGTGTTTTGTTACCGCTTGGGGAAGGCACAGTTCAGTAAAAGCAATTAGGTTCTTTCGTAAAAATTATTGGTTTATGTTTTTCAGTACAGATAAGAAGAATCAAAGACAATGTAATCTATCAATTTTGTATAGAATTATTACAGAAAAAAAAACCAAACTAGTAGAATGAAAGGAAAATCCCAACATGTGTTTTGCATTCTTTACAGTGTATTTTGATAATTCTGTTATTCTACAGAACTGCTGCTGTATTTTCATAGCCAGTCCCAGTTCAGATACTTGTAAATGGTGAATACTGAAGCCAGAGGTGTTGGGTGATAATACTTCTCTTTAATCTTTCAATAAAATGATACTGACAAATTGTAAAGATGGTGCCAAACTAATGTCCTGCCCATTTCACTTTGATCACCTAGTTCTGACAGTGGTAACTGCTTCTGTCTCTGTGTTGTTGGGGGAAGACTGGTAGTGTAATGTGGAGACCCAAGTTGGAACTGGCAGAGTTTATTTTGTGAGGCAGACATGGCATGCAGGCATGGCTGTATTGTTTATTTACCAAACACATGGCCAGGATAAAAGTATCCTCAAGAGCTTGCGAATGTTAGCTCTTCTTGGCTGAAGAGTATCATGGGCAGACAAAGGCAAAGCGAGATGATCCAGCTACTCAGTTCTTTCAGTCAAAACCAATTTGGGTTGGATTCCTAAAAGAAACAAACAAAAAAACCCAACCCAAACCAAGCAAGCCACTTGCTGTTATCTTCACAAGGTAGGGATTTGGCCCTGAATGCCCTGGGTATCTACGGGAAACATCCGTGATTGTGAACCAGATGACTCATACATGCAGCAAAACAGAATTGCAAAGGAAAACAATTCAAATGGGAATTGTATTACAGTAAGACAGTCACAAATAATTTATTTACTACTGTATTAGCTGATCCATATAGATTTGAATTGAAAAGAAATGGCACTGTTAGGAAATCAGAAATAAAACCTGATGTAATTTATGTTACCACATCAAAACTCCAACTGCCATCCCAAAACCCACCTCTTCAGTCCTACGTGTGCCATCCCTAGGCCCCTCTATGCTCTCATGGTCCCAGGTAGAGCCTCATGATCTGCAAAGCAGTTCCCAAACTCTACCCGCCCAAATCTCTTGCAGAGGTACCCCAGGTTGTTTTCACTTTGCCTCTCTGAAACAAAAGGATAGAACCTGTGTCTTTTTCTTGGGTTTATATGATGCTCCTGCTATTGCCACTTGAGGACTTTCTGAGGGTCATGTAATTAAGAAGGCAAATTCTGGGCATCTTTACAAGCCCTCTGTAAAATTTCCATTACTTTGCACTTCACTTTTTCAGGAATGAAAGAAAGAATAGGCTTTGAGTGAAACTAAGTAGGCCATACCTACTCCCTCTTGCTTCCTTTTCGTTGCCAACGCAGCAGACCAAAGCATATGCTTTCCACTAGTAGGTCATAGCAACTAATTTAACTAACTAATCTATCAACTAGCTCCATAATGAACTTTGGAGGTAATGAAACTCTAACCAAAGGCTTCTTGAATTTCCATCCAAATGTTGCCCTAGAGATGTAGTGCAAACATGGTCAAGTGCTATTGTATTCATCAAATGTTTTTTTATATCACGACTGACACTCTGAAAGACCTTCAGAATTGTGGATTTATGTCTCTTGCATCCATTTCAGTATACTTACCAAAAATTGTTAAACTTGTATATTATCAAATTTTAGCAACAAATCTCCTGAATTCTCAGTTAACAACACAGGAATCAATAAGACCTTGTGGAGGAAACATTTCAATATCATCTGGGAAAGAAGTTTGAAAAAATGCCAAACAAAAA